AATATCTTCGTGATATTGCTCGAAGCATTACAATTTCAATTTACTCGTGAAGATCTTGAGGCAAACCATGTATAATTATTAATATGCAGATCTTACGCATTCAGAAAATACCAAAGTATTTAAAATTCAGTATAGCAAAATCTTTATTGATACTAACTATAGATTTTATTTTCAATTCGTAAGTCAACCAGGTTTACGACTTGTACGTGACCTTTGACTATTTTCGAGATTAAAACTTCAATACATGTTTTGTATGCAGTTTTTTAATTTTTTATTTTATTCGTTACTTTCATTTATTGACAGGAGAACACAAAGTCCTGTGTAATTTACTAGGGATGTCTTTTTTGCATTTTAATAATGGCTTTTCCTTTAATCCTTTATAACATGTGCATCCTTCCATCGCGACGTAGTACCATCTCTTCGGAAATGAAATCAAAAATAAAAGAAAATCGCCCTTAAGACCATTATTGGAGCCATTTTTCCTTCTACTAACATTTTGAGAACATGTTGATTTAATCAAAAAAGATAAGAAAAAAACACCCAAAATACAATGATCATATTAGATCAAATCAAAATAATCTTTCTACTCATTGCTAGTTTTTACTTGCATATGATTAGTAATTACTTGCATTACTTGTATTTTGATGAATGATAAAAGTACATTTAAAATTCAAGAACACTTCACACTCTTTGTATTCACACACATACGTTTCCAGGAGTGTTTGAAGTTAAACAACATTTTCAATGCTTCTAGCCTACTCTGAGCCTAAACACTACAAGTGCTCTGAAATATCGATTCGGAGCAAAGTTGGGACCGTACAACAGATTTCCTTTTACTTCGATCACCTGCGGTATATACCCACGATGCTATACTTGTAACCTTGTTCTTTAGTTCAATAAAGTGTAGTAAAGCAAACTTAGAATTTCCTAACATACTCATAACTCCATATAACTAGTTTTAGAGCTAACATCCTTCGTATCTGCAAGTTTATGTTTAATACACTATAAAACTGTGCGATTACCTGTTGCATAAATTAATCCATAAAAATCTATATTTTGATGAAGATTGACAACCTAATGAACTTCTGGCTTTATAACAACGGTTTGTTAATCTTAAAAATTCCAAATGAGTATTCATGAAACTACAGACTCGAGGATTTTAAATACGGTTACTTTTCTTATATCAGAAATTACGTATTATATCGAACATTTTTGATTGTGACATATAAGTATCTATAATAAATAATTATTTTCGAATTTTTAATGTCTAGGAAACTTTTAAAAAATCTAAAATTATAGATAGTTCTAATGGAAAAGATGATCTAACTTAACACTAAAATTCTAGGTTCTTCATGCATTTATAATTTTTTTCTCGTATAGGTGTCAAACGTGAGATATACACTTGAGAAACAAAGAAAAACATAATTCTGCAACGCCAAAAGTTAATACGAAGATATTCAAGGAAACAAACCTAAAGAACTTCCAATAAAAGCTATGAAATTATAATAACACTAATCGTATCGACGCTTTGTATATATTTATTCTTATTGCAACCAGTCTAATAACTAGCCTCAGAAGAAAGATAAACAAGTTAGACAATAAACTTTTCTTAATGGAAACAGAAACAAAAGTAAAGACACACATTGAAAAATTGATTAATCGGAGAATATAGAAATCGATATAAAGTTAGACGAACAAAAGAAAACGCAGAATTTTCAACCAAATTTTTAAACCGATCATTCGACCAGTCACGTTACATTTAGTATTAACCAGTTAACTGCGCTTGACGAGTATACACGTCATCTTAAAACTGTAAATGATGCCAACTTTTTCAGCGATGGACTATTTATTGTTTTAGATCAATGCGTAATTCTTTTTCATTCCGCTTTAATTTTTCAGTAGAATATGTTATAAGTGCGTTTGCAAATATATTATATTGTTATCTATAACCGGTACAGCTACTTCATCGTTAATAATTTATTAGTAAAAGAACAAATTTTTACGTTTATTCTACGTCTACGTTTACTACAAAGGTTAACGATTGATAATAGAGAAGTAATATTTAATTTATATTTCAAAAAAATAAATAACACTTAGATTTCTCAAATTCAGTTGAAAATTTTCGTCACGGGTCTCACACAACATTGTAGGTCAAGGGGTTAAAAGAAACTTAAAATCTATCCATTATTTGCTCTCCGAAATATTTATCATTCCTTACGAGCAGCCCTAATCTGTAAGTTCAACGCACCCAGCCAACGCCAGAATTCCTCGGGTTAGCGGGTACCACGAGCGCAACTCCGACGAGAGCTACGCTCGAGAACTCATACACTAAAAGGCTCGAAAGCCATTTCAAAAAGAATCAGTCCTCGACCCCCTCGTCATAGAACATCCATCTGCGAACGTCTGGCCGCGATGTCTGAAATATTCACCTTCGGCCAATTATCGCGGCTCGCGAAAGCGGACCTCGCGGAGTGCGTAAACAGAAAGCGACGCGTCTCGCCGCATCGTGCTGTGCGCCGTACGGTTAACAAGTTATCCGAGGGCCACGCATTGAATAATGTAGAATTTAATTTCGGCCAGTGAGGCTCGACGGTCGTCATCGGTCCGTGGCGTTGATTCGTACCGTGAAACATTTAGCGGCCGTGAAATTTCCCATGCGACCGGAGCCGGATACGGCTGGGACAGAGTGCGCATCGCGACGCTGCGCACCGGGCCGATCCTCTAACCCACCTCGCGTATTTGTCGATGGACGAGAACCATCCGGAGAACACGTCCGCTCTTTTCCGCGATTCGTGCCTTGAATTTAGGACCGAACGACCTGGGGAAAGGGAGAAAAAAATGGGCGCGTCCGGCCGTGGTACATGGAGAAAAGAGGATGCGTTGATGCTGAGTCGACACAGGGATTGAAAAGGCTTTGAAAATAACTATTTGAAACTGTTTTATATCGGTTCCTACTGAAACAGTTATGGAGATCGAAATAAAGTCATAACTGTTATTTGGTATATCGGTTGTGAAGTATATCGATGTTGGTTTTGTTTCTTTAGAACTGATATTAAATCGGTTCTATGACTGCTGTTTTCTAATTTTGTATTTCTGTTCTGCATTTTGTTGAGAACCGAATAGTGACAGTTATATAACGTATATAATATCGATTCTGTATAGCAGAAGAGAAACCGATATAGCCTGACCGTGTCAAAATGAAATGTAAGTGCTGTGCAAATGGAAGTTCTGTCACTCTTCTTCAACTGTGTTAAGCCGAAATCATACAATTCGAATACTGTGTAAATCGAGAGCTAACTGTACTCAGTTGTTAACAGGAGGGTCAACCCTTTGAGTACTGAATACTTTATTGCTTAGCTTGTCGCCTGAAGATCAGTAAACTATGTTACTTTATACAATGCATGATTAAGTTGTAATCATAATTCCTTAGGTTCACAAAATTGAATAATGGTTAAAAACGTGTATATTAACACTAAAACTACCGAGCAATGAAATTGACATTTTGAAATTCTTCTATAAAAACTCCAAGAGTGCATCTATTTAGATTTTAATTGATTTTTAATTCAGTTTGCACATTGGTAGATCAGTTTTAAGAATTCTATTATAATCGATTAATAAAAGCTCCGAAGACTCATATATTTTCAAACAAACGTTTAAGAATAAAATATAAAAATTAGGAATACTCTTTAATAACTCATTTATAAAACTGAAAGAAAGATAAGCATAGAAAACATTGTAATTTTCATATAACACAACTTCAACAAATGTTTCAAGGTTTCAATTTCAGATTTATTTAGTCCGCAGCATTTCCAACAGATTTGTTCGTCGTAACTTTAACTTTTTCTTAAAAGTTTCTTATTCGCGCAAAAATGCATTGAATAGAAATTTCAATTAACACACTGCATTTTATATCAGTCCTCTGTGAATAGTGAAAATAATTATAAAATTACAGTTATTTCATAACTAATCGAAAATGTTCACAGTTTTATTCAACTGAGGATTTGAGGAAAGAGTGAAAAAGAAGGGGTGGGGGGAGGAATGAAAAAACATCGGCGAGTCCTGTTCCGGATTAACAGGGGGTCGCCTGTGCAGCAACGACGATGCACTTCCCGGATATCCGAGCGTCCGGACAGCTCGTGAGATATTCAACGGACCGAATATCCGGCCAGATTATACGATTTTCCTTTTTTGCCGCGGTTCACCCCTAGCTCATCCGTTTCACCCTTTCCCTTCTTTCTACTATTTTCCTCCTTTCGTCTCGTTTTCTTTTCCCGACGCGAACCGGCACGCTCGGATGTGCACGCGAAGTTTTAAGGGATAACCGATACGTTTCGGACTGTGGCAATACGTGCGTCATGACGCCGCGCAGGCCGCGCGTATGCGTCATTTATTTCGAGGAGGAAAAGTGATCGGCTTCAGCATCGACTTCCGTTTCCACGACGATCTACACATGCTATTATCGCATACACATTTTTAACTTAACAGTTGGAGTGTTATGCGTCTATGGAAATTAAGCTTTTTGAAGCTGCAAAATCACAGAATGCAGACGATACCGAAAAGTATCTAAAATGTAATGCTTTTTACAATATTTGTTAAGAAAAATTATTTTACACCGTTATTCTATCTTCTCAATGATATGTTTGAAAATTTGAATTTGCATAAAGATCCAAATTCTATTCATAACTTTGGTTGCGTTGCGACAATTATAGAAACTGTTTCCTAGATGTTCATGTATCGAATGTAAATCGTATTAAATCCTTTGCTTCATGATCTATTTGACAACGCAATTAATATGCCTGACACCACAAAAATGTATTTAATACGCGTATATATTATCGTTTTTATTATATATATATTATTATATATTATACTTTATATATATAATCGTTAATAAAAACGATAATATCAGTAACAATAATACTAACAATAATAACACCTTGCGGAACCCAGGAATAACTTTAAACGAAATACCATAACAGTGAATAAAAACAGTGACATACCTGGTATTGTTGAATATTTCGTCCACAGCGTGTCTCAGATTCTCCTCGTTCAATTCAGAGAATTCCAGGAGCACAGCGACACCCCTGGCCTCAGCTGCGACCGAATTCTGATACTGATCGCCGAACAGTGGCATCAATATCATCGGCAAACCGCTATGAACACCCTCTGATAAACCCAGAAGTCCTCCGTGACCGAAATAGCATTTAACATTCGGATGATCTGCGAAAAAAAAAACAAAAAAGTGTTTCGTTTTAATAAAACCGAGCCAGTCAGTCGAGAATTCCGTCAAGACTCAGCGGAGATAAAAAGTTCCACCCTCATCCCTGTGAAACGAAAGAGATGGGGGAGTAACTTCTTTCATAAATATACGATCTTAGATTTCATTGCGTCGCTGTCAAATATGAAACATTTTCGAGGGGTGGAGGCGGGTTTTCCGTGCGATACGGGCTTATTACGGTCGGCTGTGAATATCGTCGGAAGAATCACGTCACCCCGTATAATAAGGAAGACGAAGAAGCATCCGAGACGGTCTCCGGGGCTAAAAGAAATCCCGGCGCCGGGGGATGCTCCGCTGAAAAATTCCTCCTACCCGGCCGTTTATTGTGAGAGCTCGCCATCTCGACTGGTAGGCTGCGCGTCATCGCATCACGCGCGATTCCGCACCTCTGGCGTCGATTCTAATGTCAAATTCCATTACGCCAACCCTTCGCCCGCCTCGACAGCCGCCACACCGCGCGCGACGTTTCATCGTGTGCGCGTAAAATCTTAGGCTGTATCTTCACTAAAGCAACGTCGAGGTAATTTCATACGGTAATACTAAAGGAAGTAATACCTTTATACATATTATAAATAGAATTGCCAATGGCAATCATCTATGGATTCGACTGGATAAAATTCTAATCAATTAAAAAGAAAAACGGATCTCAATCTCCACAACAATATTTATGAAACAAGTTAATCTAGTTGTTCATTACGTCCCGGTCAACTGTATCGAACAGACGTGTTTACTTATTGTTTTAGTTACATAAAAACTGATTCATTATTCCATTATAAAACGAACAATACGGAAATATAAAATGAAGTAATACCAATGATGTGCAACCAATACATCATAGTCAACTTCAGTCGAACGCATTATCACGTCGTGCATTAAATACCAGAGGGAAGGAAATATCAAATGAAAGAAGACCCTAAAGAAGTAACCCCAACAGTTCACTCATGCTCTAATATTTTTAAATTTCTAAACAAAATCAAAATAGTTCACTTAATTTAATCAGCCATCCGTAATTAAGAAATACACAATACAATCATATACATAGATAATCATTTGCATAATGTAAAGTAGTTGCCAATTACCTAATGGGGTTGACGCAACTTAAAATGTACGATAAAAAGAATACCAATGGAACATTATTTTACTATTTCCAATATTTTATCTTCTATATTAACGTGTGCTTATAATGAATGAAACATTTCTTCGCATTTCTTGCTGATCATTGATAATGAAATTGGTCGAGCTTAACCCTTAACGGTCATAAGTCACCTCTGACGTGACAACAGTACTTTGTCGCTGCGGTCGTATGGCACGGTGAGGTGACAAGACAGATCATGTCGAAACTCGCTGTCTATGGAATGTGCGCGCAATTGCTTGTCAGTTGAACATTACCAGCGGAACGATTAACATGCCCGGTGATATAACAATGCCTTTTTAAATAGAATTTTAATATTTTGGCCCCAAAAAATAAACGAAGACAATTTATGAATTTGGATAGTGAAGTGTCAGTGAAATTTTTGAAAATAATTCTGAAAGTAATTTTGATTCTAGTGATGAGATTAGCAGTGACGTTTTACTACGTCGTAAGAAAAGAAAAGTTGTTATACCTATATAATATTCAAGTGAAGAAAAAAGTGAGGCAGAAGGAGAAAATTTTGATGATTCAAATCTTGATTGGGTTGAAAACGACAGTATAGTGATAAAAGTCTAAAGACATCATACATTGAAAACTTATAAATAATTATCTGACATTCGTACATTTGTAATACTCTTTTATAAAATACATAATTTCTAACAAAAATGTTGTTCTTACAATACTCAAATTTTTTCGCATATTTACTAAAAACAACTACAACCTAGTGAGAATCATGTATACAAAGTTAGCGTCCAATAAGGGTCCAATATAGCATCCAATAACCCCTTGACCTGCAATATCCTGTCAGACTCGTGACGAAAATTTTAAACTGAATTTGACAAATCTAAGTGTTATTTAGTTTCTTAAAATATAAATTAAATATTATTCCTCTATTATCGGTCGTTAACCTTTGGAGCGGTATATGAGAAAATGCCGCAGCGATTGTTTTGGAGTAACAAGGAAAAAAGTTTTTTTGTCTCAAGAAAAGGAAAGAAGAACTTTACGTCTCTATTCTTTCAAGCAATCACAGCTCTGATATATTACGTATATTGCTCGTGTGTATGTGATTTTATCAGTTATCAGTTTCACTAGTATATTTGCGTCAGGTCGCATTAACCTATTAAACGTCAAGACGTTAAATAGTTTGCATATTTATGTACTACTTATTCTCTTGTCTGATTCAGGACTATGGCATTATATTTGCATTTCTTGTACTTTAATATTTATATTTGCTGTGTCAGTTTTATGTTACACTTATGTTTATTCTATTTCGTTATATTAACACCTTGTCTCCCTGACTTTTTACATTTTGGGTTGTGCGACATCTTTTCTCCGTCGACAGTATTTGCACTTACATTTATTTATGATTGATAGCAATATAGATGTTTATGAGAGCGATCTAGATTGTATTTATTAGTTTATATTACTTAGATCATTTTAGCTTATTACGTGTGAACGAAGTATATATAAGTTAAAAGATGTTTTCTGCAAACAAATTTACCGGTCAGCAAGATGTTAACATTTCTCATAAATTTATATACATATGTATATATTAAAATGACTACAACCCTGTCCCATTTAAAAGCCACTTTATGCATTTGTTTATATTTGATTCCTCGACTCGTTGAAGGCACTAAAGAGTTAGAATCTAAAATATTCGAATGGTGCGGTGAACAATAAATTATTGTGGAAGAATTGTATACTTGTTCCAATTTATTGATACAAGTTGCTTCTGTGGCAACGTATATGCACGCATTTATCATATGTGAAATTTAGAAAAAAATTTATGTAAAATTTAAGCATGGAAATAAACTATAGAATATTTGTTACATCTAATTTATAAATAACATGCTAACTGTATAGTATGTGATCGAGTTATTGGAGCCACCTGTATGAATTTAAGATTTCACGGTTGAGCAATCGTAGTTGTGCGATTTCTCGTTAGTGTCAGAAAATATCGTATGTATCTCATTAGAAAACGTTGAGTATTTCCAGTGAAATACTTCCGGAGCACACAGGGTTAGAAACGGACTCCGACTTGTAAAAATCTAGCCTCTCCTATAATTCGAATTATACTGATAAAATTCGTACTGAACATGAGTCGAACAATTCCAGTTACAGAAGTTTTATATCTCTAGTTACAGAGATTTTCATAGCTGAACGGTAGGACATCAACAAAATTTGTCGAGTTGTAGTTGCTGGAGTTACCGAGTTTTCGTTGTTACATGTAACATCAATGAAAAATTGCTTGTCGTCGCTTTAGTGGAGACGTGGCTTTACATGCATACGTTCGTATATATTTACCTATATGCATGCACAGACGAGGAACGCAACTTTCGACGAGCGTCACTCGAGGTTTCGCACTCGATACGTCTTCGCGGGACACGTGCGTCGATACGTGACAGGGGATATCTATCGGCTGGCATGAATTTTTGCAACCGACGCGGCCGCGACGGAGGGAAAATCGGTCGACGGCGCGTGGTTCCCCCGATTTCCTTGGGATTCCTTCCGGCCGCGCGCAGCAGACACTTTTACTGCGGCTGTAACGAGGAAATAACGCGCTGGTATTTCCCGCGGTTTACGACGCGGATGCTTGCTGCTGAGAATTGATATTTCGATCTCGTTCCGGGGAACCAGTCGCGAGGTAAATGTTAATGGATGATACCGGCTCTTCTGGGAACGTCTAGAAGGTGCTTTATTAATTATGATAGCAGTGGAAATATTATACGTAGGTTGTAGCAAAAATTTCGGAAATTAGAAGTTGAGTTGTTTATGTTATTTTCGTAAAGCTTCATAGTTTTAAGGCTAGGAAGTACTGACACAACACAATGAAAAGTGTATTAATGTTGAAGAACATTTTTAAAAACAATAATAATTAATTTAAACTTATTTGGGACTTTGTTTATATTTTCTTGGAAGTTTTGCAGTAACCGACATATAACATATACTAGGTATTGTATGTTATATATTATATATTATATATTATATATTATATATTATACATTATATATTATACATTATATATTATACATTATATATTATATATTATACATTATATGTTATATATTATACATTATATGTTATATATTATATATGATATGTTATATATTATATATTATAGGGTACGGATGAAACTGTTGGAACATTCCAATATTATACAATGTGATGAAACAAACATTCGTAACTTTTAGAGTGGATTGTACTAATGAAACGTTACAAAAAAGTTTTAATAAACACGCATAAAAAAATTAATGTTTTTAAAGTTGTAAACAATTTTTCGTTTCAATCAACGGAATCGATTGTTTCGTGAAGCATATAAATATTATCTCCGTATACAGTAATATCACCAGTGACTCCCAACCGAATGAAATTAATATAATTTATTTAATTAAATGATACTTATTAAAAAACTTTTCCGTAAATAATGGAACATAAAGCAATGAAATTCAGTAAAATAATTCGTTTTAGTAAAATTTTAATTTCTTTTCAGTAGAATAATTTGATGATTAAAAATTGGTCAGTGGATTTAAGAAAAAAGAATAAGTATAAGTCGTGGTATTTTCTATGTTTCTATCTCCAAATGAACTATGTATTATTATCATATTATGCTTTTTCCTCATCCACACAATTTTCGTAAGCAATATTTTTAAATGATATTAAAACAACTGAAATAATAAGAATATTTGAGTTGATTGTAAGTGATGAAATAACCACTACAGTCATTATTTTATTTAACAGTCAAACCACTAAGTTTATTTTTCATCACACGGGTGATTAAATATTTTTAAGCGGCAGCGTATATCTATAAAT